GGGCCCGGGGCGGGAAACGCGCGGGGGCTGCCGGGACCCGGGCGGGGGGGGCCGCTGTAGGAACCGGGGTATCAAGGGGAACCCCAGCATTCCCTTTGGACGGCGAGGATCGTGGAGAACCCGAAACTAGAGTAGGGGTGGGGGCTCCGTCTTCCGCTCAGTGACTTGGGTCTAGAGTCCCGCGGGTGGGTCTGTCTGTGGGTGGGCAGATCTGGTACGGCTGCGGGAGGGATGCTTGGCCCTCCCGACCTGGCAGGATGCCTCCGGCCCCGGGCCATTGGGGTCGCCAACTCCCTTTTCTCCCATTCCTCAATCCGCCCTGGATTGCATTGGGTCTGGGGGTTTGCTTGGGGGCCGGTCTGCTGGCAGCCGAGTCTCATGTGGCAGCGGAAGGGATGCTTGACCCTTTGGACTTGGCAGGACATCTCTGGCCCAGTGCCAGTAGAGCCGGCAACTCCTCTCCCTCCCCTTTCTTACCCCCGCTCTTGGAGTGGATTGGGTCTGTGGGTCTGCCCAAGGGTCGCTTAGTCAGTGGGTAAGTACAAGTGCGACAGAGGAAAGGATGCTCGGCCTTCGGGAAATGGCTAGGCGCCCCGGTGCTGTCGATTCCGCCCAATCCCTTGCCCCTCTGGAGTGGATTGTATCTGGGGGTCCACCCAGAGACAGATCATCCAGCTGGCTGGTCCCATTAGGCAACGGGAGGGATGCTCGGTTTTTGAGTCTCAGCGGTGTCGCCAGTCTCCCTCCCTCCGTCCGCCCCCGCAGTGCAGCGGTCCGACACGCCCTTGTGCCCGCGTAAGCGGGACGGGGGCACCCGGCCAGGGTGAGCACCTCTCAGCCACCCCTGTGCTGCCCTGTGTTGGCAGCAGGTGGGCGTGGAGAGCCTGCCCAAGGTCGTGCCCGGCCCGTGGGCGGCCTAGCCGCTGGGAAGGGTGGGGGCATCACGTGACCGGGGCTGGGCGAACTTGGCCTGCAAGCCCGACGGCGCGGTCATGGCCACTCCGGACAGTCCCTAGATCGGAAGCACCACCACAGCCCTCCAGCAGCTGGTTTCTTTCATTTTGTTCGGAAGGGCTTCTCGGTCAGCATCTTTATAATGTAGATCAGTGCTTGGAAACAAAGATGAAGGCTTTTTTTTTGTAGCTCAGAGTTTAAAATCTTGAGTAATTAATGACCAGGTTAAATACAGATCAAACGTAATATTCCCAACTCGGGACAGGCCTTCTCTTCCTCTCGGTTCCAACTAGTAAAATGTTCAAGGGCATATTTTAGTAGGAAATTAATAACTTTGTAAGTGATCGAATAACATGAAAAGCAACCTAACCTTTTGAAACATGTCTTTTGTTAAACCATTTTCTTCCACGGCATCGGGTTTCTGGACATTCCAGATATTTCAGCATGTTTATTTCCTTCTGAACCACAAACCAAATGAATCAAAAATGGCCTAATAGTGCTTGTCCTTTACTTAGACCAGCAAACATCCTTCCCTTCTCCACCCCAATCTTCCATATTAAGGCGATTCTGGCAGAATGAATGCAGGCATAAATAGGGGACACTTGGTCTGATGCTTATAGTTGAGGCAGGGAGTGTCTAATAAATTAATCTAGCAGCCATCAGCATTCAGAGTTGGTTCTTTGGGCAGGCCTGCCTTTGCACCAAGGGCTTGTGGGCTCTTTTTTCACATGTAAATTACTGGTTTCCTTCTTATGAAGCATTGCTAGACCTAACCTTGCACTTGAACTCCATCTTAACAGTTGGAATTAAACAGACACAAGGGCTGCCTTTAGGAGGGCTCATATGAAAGTGGCAGAAATTGGCATCACTCACAGGCCAAAATAACTTCCTGTGTTTGTACTAAAAGTAAGCTGCCGAAGGTGGAAGTGAAGGGAATTAAACTGGCATCCTTTCTGCAGCTACTGCCATCCTTGGCCCTGGCCTCTGACCCGTGGTCACCAGCATCAAGCCTGGGCCACTGGGGATTCCTGGGGACAGGGCCTGCGCTTACCCAATCCTGGACCCGAGTGCCATTCAGAAAAACACTGTTAATTTGTACTTGGGTTTCTTACTGGGCTTCGCAGAGAGCCCTTTTCAGAGGCACTCTGAGCGCCTTGAATACAGCATCTATCATGAGACGCTCTGAGCTCTTAACTGTCCCCAAGGTTGAATACCACAGGGCATGGCCTTCTCGTAGAGAGGTATATTGCATTTTGCCTGCTGTTGCTGGGGTGGCAGCGGCCACACGCGCCAGCTCGCTCCGGAAGGTCTCTGTGGGCACGGCTGGTGGAACAGGATCTAAGCGCCTGGGACACGCCGGACCGGGGGCGGGGCTCGCGTTAACCTTTCCCCTACTTTTCTCAGCCGTCACGTGACGACTGCTCCCGGGCTGTGGGGAAGGGGCGGGGCGCCGGAGCCGCAGTTGTTGGCAGTGCCCTTGCGAGGACGGGATGCGTTCCAAGCCAGCAATTAAAAATGCTGCCTGAAATCTAAAGGCTTTGGGAAGGTGGTGGCGACGGGATGGGAGGCGGAATCGGGCCCAGGGCTGCTTGTGCACTTTGATCGTTTGCATTTTTTCCTTTGTTGGAAAAATGTTTAGTCACTGCATGGTTATTATTGGCAGGCCAGAGTTGTATTGCTGGTGGAAGCCTGAACTTGAATTCCGGAATCGGTGCTTTAAGATTAAAATGGCTGTTCAAGGTAGTATGTTTAAAGTGTGGCTTAATGAAAGTGTGTTTTAAGAAATTCTTTATCTCACACTCTAAAGAGATCTGGACACTCTTGGCTTGGCTTATGCATGGCTTGTATATTTCTTGCAAGGATTTTTGTTTGTTTTCAAAATAAGCGAGATAAGCACAGGGTGCAAAGTTTAAAAGGCACAGTGAGTGGCCAGCAGGTGTTGTGCTGAACCAAGCTCTGAACTCCCACATGGCTGACCATCTTTGGGTCCTGGGCCTGGCAGTTTGCTATCTCACTTTCCCTTTCTCTCTCTCTCTCTGATCAAATTAAAAAAGAAATAATAATAACAAAATTAAATAAGTAATTATTTTGTAAAAAGGCACAGTGAGAATATAATCTAGAGTGTGCCTTCTTCCCACATGGTTTCTCTTTCCATATGCTACCACTATTAACAGTTTCTTTGATGAATTTAAACATAGGCTAGACTCTGCTGGTGAGAAAGTGAGAAAGCGTCCTCCACGGGGCATGGTCTTGCCACAATCCCATCTCCTCCATTTCTTCCTCCTTTTGAGATTTTGGTCATGCACGCACATGCACTGGTATATTTTTAAAGATGAAGTTGGACTCCAACTGTTCAATCAGCCATGTGGGATCCACCTGCCCCAGCCACCATGCCACTGACTGGCTCAGGTTTATTTCTTTAAACTTCATACAAGTAAGGAATGTTTTCTTTCTCTCTCTCTTTCTCTTTTATTTTTGCCACAGGGCACATGTGTTGGATTGTGAGAGAGGGAAAGTGAAAAATCAGCCCCGGAGGAGGGGGAGATGGCCATACCCAAATCCCTTCCTCTTCATTCTCCTCCTGCGATTCTGGGCATGCATGCACAAGTTCCTGGCATGTTTTTAAGGCCACCATATCCAGGACTTGAACCACAGAGTAGGTCATGTAGGATCTAGTACTTAAACACCATGCCACCTGCTGGCCCCAGGAATAATTTCTACTTGTTGATTTCAAATACTTTGTTGGCTTTTGTAAACTTCAACTTTCACCCCTTGCAAATATTGGGTGGATGTTAGGTCCTCAGTAGGCCATGAACTGAGGCCAATTTGCCCTGTTTGGCTAAGGTGACAGCCTCGGTTCTGAGAAATGACTACCTTTGCCTTTCTTTTGTGAGGGTTGTTCTTGCATCCAGTAATGTTTTTGGAAGTTAATAATTAAAGAAATTGTGCTTGGAGTGAGGTGTGTCCCTTCAGTGTACACTAGGGTAATTGCCACCTTGGAGGGTTGGGAAACAGGATGACTACCTTTCTGCTTCCTAAAAATCATCCACTAATCTTTGGACATTGAGCTCCTTCAGTAAAAAAAGAAAGGAATATTCCATAATTTTTTTTCCTTTTAATTTTGCCAGAGGGTATGTGTACTTGCCAGAAGGTGTATGTGCTAGCTGGAGAGGGAGAGGAAGAAGGCACCCCCCCTCCAGTGGGGTGTAGTCACACCAAAATCTCTTCTCCATCTCTCCATCCTGTCAGGAATTTGGACACACACACACACACAAACACACAACCCTGGCATGTTTTTCAAGCTGCTGGTTCAGGGATTCAAACCTTGAGGTTGGTCAGGGTGAGTGCACGTGCCTTCTAACCAAAAAGAAAAATACTGTTATATGCCATAAGTCAAACTTTGCCTTTTATAAAACAGTTCTCCATATGTAAAAAGAATGATTGGGCCAGCAGGTAGCCTGAAGTTTAAGGCATTTGGATCCCACATGGCCAATTCCACAGTTCTAGTCCCAGACCCGCAGCTTGAAAATCATGCCAGGTGTGTGTGTATGTGTGTGTACCCATGTGTGCCCAAAATCTCAAGAAGAGAATGGCGGAGAAGGGGTTGCATGTTGGCCATTCCCTCTGGATGGTGATTTTTCACTTTCTCTCTCTCCCTCTCTGCCAAGTGCACACATCCTATACTTAAAAACAATTTTTTTTTTTTTAACCTCAGATTTTGCAAGTGTCAGCTCTTGTGCTCTGAAAAAGATTTAACACACAGAGGTGTTTTTGTTTTTTGGTTTCTTTTTCTTTTTTTTTTTTGGAGAGGTTTTTGCTATAGGGTGTGTGCGCTCGCCAGACAGAGAGACAGAAAGCGAGAAATCACCCCCCAGAGGGGATGGCCACACCGCAGTCCCTTCTCCTCCATTCTCCTCTTGGGATCTTTGGCATGCATGCACATGTGCCCGGCGTGAGTTTAAGCCACCGGGTCCGGGACTTGAACCGCGGTCGACTACGTGGGAGTCCAGCGATATAGCCATTATGTTAGCTACTGGTCCCGGTTTTTTTCCTTAAGCTTATTTATTTCTTCCATGAGTAAGAGAGATAGAAAGAGAGAGGCGACACCCAAACAAGGTCCATATGCCATGATCCACCCTCAGCCTCAGCCAGTCCTGGATTGGATCATGGATATATGTATTCCAGGTGGGTCAGCTTTGCAGTGTCATGTTTTGCCACTGTGACACTGTCTGGCCCCTAGGCTTGACTTCTTTATATTAGGGTGTCAGGAAAGCTGCATTCTTTCTAGGCATAAATGCATCATGACTTTTCCTACAACCCAATACTTTCTCAAGCACACCCCATTGTTCAATGTGAGGTCCAACGAGGCCTGCTGAAAATACATCAAGAAACTGCTGTGAGTTAAATGCCACAGTTAGAAGATAGGGCCAAGTATCAGATGCTGGCTGGCATTGAGATTCAGGGGACGTGAACCATGGTCGACTACATGGGAGTCCAGTGACATAGCCATTACGCACACTGCTGGTCCCTTCTTTTTAAAAATTTTTAAAGAGGTTTTTGCCTTAAGATGTGTGCACTCTCTGAGAGGAGAGAGACAGACACAGTGAGAGGGAAAGTGAGAGAAATCGCTCCTCCCCCCGCCCCCGGGTGATTTCTCTTCATTCTCCTGGGATCTTGGGAACACATGCTCATGCGCCCAGCATGATTTTGAAGCTACCAGGTCCGAGATCTGAACCATGGTTGGCCCTGTGGGAATCCAGTGACGTAACTGCTACGCCATCTGCTGGTCCCAACCCTGGTCTGTCTTCTCCTTTCCTTTTCCAGGCAGCTTCCCAGACTGTGAGGCAATCAGAGGGCTTGGGTTTTATTTTATTTTTAAGAATTATTTTATTTAACTTTATTTATTAGTTTATTTTAATTTGACCAGAGTCGGAGGGAGGAAGGGAGGGGAGAGAGAGAAAGAGAAAGTGAGAAAGCAAGCCGCCAGATCCAGGACTCGAACCATGATCGGCCGTGTGGGAGTTCAGCGCCTTTAACCACCACACCACCACACCACCTGCCAGTCCTGAAGACTTGGGTTTTACAGACCTCCTCTGACCCTGCAACCCTCACACTCACTCAGGTTGGGTGTGACCCTGAATCTGCTCTGAGCATTTCTGGGTTTCCATTTCCTCATTTGTAAGATGGTGGCTCTGGCACCTGTTCGTTCTAGGTCATGTGAGTTTTATAAGGATCTGATAAGAGGTCAAATATGAAAAGAGTTTTGAGTGTGTGCATAAATACAGATTCTGGCCAATCATAGCATGGTTACAGGTGCGTCTTATGGATTCCACTGCATTCTGCAGTCCCCAGTTGGACTGTGTGGTGTGACAAGTTTAACCAGAGTTACACTCTGGTGCAGGGGTGAAGGACTTACATGGGAAATACAGGGCTCACCACCCCTGTGGTTTTAGGAATATATGTGGGAACGATCCACTGGCATGAAGAGAGGTTTGGGATCTCTTCTGGGTAGGTGCATGCTGCTCTGCCGGTTGTGCAAAGGCAGGTGAGGCTGGAGGCAGGTAAGGCACGGGAGAGAAGGAAATGCACCGTTTAACTGCCAGGATGGGCACAAGTATGAATGGGTCAGACATTTGGGCCTGTCACTACACTGGATTTTTTTTTTTAAGAATTATTATTATTTTATTTTGGAAAGGTTTTTGCTATAGGACCCAGCATGAATTTAAGCCACTGGGTCCGGGACTCGAACCATTGTTAACTACATGAGAGTCCAGCAACATAGACCTTACGCCAACTGCTGGTCCCAAAGAATTATTTTTTAAACTTTATTATTTTTGAATTTGATCAGAGAGAGAAAGAGGAAAAGCAAGAAAGCAAGCCACTAGGTCCTGGATTTGAATCACAGTCAGCTATGTGGGAGTCCAGCACCTTTAACCACCATGCCACCTGTTGACCCCTGCACTGGATTTTGTGTGTGTGTGTGTGTGTGTGTGTGAGAGAGAGAGAGAGAGAGAGAGACTTTTTTCCATAGGGCGTGTGCAGTCTCACTGAAGAGGCAGAGAGACAGACAGTGAGAAATCATACCCTAGGCACGGGTGGAGGAATGGCCACACCACAGTCCTTTCACCATTCTCCTCTCAGGATTTTGGTCACACGTGCACATGTGGCTGGCATGAGTTTCAAGCCACCGGGTCCAGGACTTGAACCATAGTTGGCCATGTGGGAGTCCAGCACCTTAACCACCACCCTATCTGTTGGCTCCCACTGGATATTTTCTTTTTTTTTATAAACAATTATTTTATTTAACTTTAATTTTTCATTTATTCATTTTTAGTTTGACTAGAGAGAGGGAAAGTGAGAAAGTAAGTTGCCAGGTCTAAGACTCGAATCATGGTCGGTCATATGGGAGTCCAGAGCCCCTAACCACCATGCCACCTGCCAGCTTCCCCTCCTCCCCCATTTATTTTCTTAATAAAATTGTAATCTTTGGTGACTTTTCCCTAATTCTGTTTTTGTTGTTAGCTGGGATCACATTTCTCTGTATTTATCTGAATAACCATTATTTATTGGTATGGTTCAATAAAGGCTTACTTTTTAAATTTGGTTTTTGCAAGAGAGAAAAAGAGAAAGAGAAGATAGAAGATAGAAGAAAAGTGAAAAATCACCCCTCAGGGAGGAGTCTCTTATGATTTTGGGCATTCATGCACATTGACCTGGCATGGTTTTCAAGCCACCAGGTC